TGTAACGGACTGTTGCGGATTATGGTAGCGATCGTGCGTGATTGCATCAGGCACACGAGGTACAAGGCTGTTATGATTCTTCATTCGTGTTGTACGCATTATTCGGTCATATATGCGATTAATGGTGAATGCTTCTGACACATTAGCTAAGCGAGAAGAACCGAACGAATGAGGGCCAACGTGTGCTCGTTCGTGTGTCACGTTGTAAACCGTAATCTTCGCTCGTTGCTCCCGCCTCACGTTGATCACGGTTTCCAGCGGAATCTATTGATTCGTCGCGGCCAAATTTTACAGGCTTATCGCTATAGCATCATGCCGCGTTCCATGGAGCAGATGCTCTACATGCAAAGAATGAGGCAGAAAATAAAAGAAAAGTCGACAAAGTATGTCAGCAATGCAAAAGTGTCGTTGCAGGTAAGTGTCGCGCCGAACTCGTAATCGACTCGACAACTCGTAACTTGAATATCAACGAATTTATTTCTTGCAGATTATAGGTAGCGGGGCTTATGGCACGCCAAGATGCGTCTACCTGACGACAGGCCACACCAGGTATGTCTTCAACTGTGGCGAGGGCACGCAGAGATTGGCATATGAACACAAATACAAACTGATCAAGCTGGAGCATATATTCGTAACATCGGCAACTTGGAATAATTTAGGTGGCACGCCGGGAATGCTCCTGACGCTACAGGATGTTGGAGTACCACGGATTTATATACATGGTCCCAAAGGGATGATGGATATATTCAACACGATTAAGAAAATTGTGTTGCTGCAAGCTCTAAAGATCAATGAAGCCAAATGCAATGAGTCAGAATCATACGTGGATCCACTGATGACTGTTTCATATGTTATCATTACGAAATCAAACAAGCAGGAAGCAGAGTCCATTGCTGTAGGAGAAGAGGTGGTCGACGACATTAATTACTGTGATTATAAGACTAACTCAAATGGCAAGCGAACATATGATAAGATAGCAGAGACTGAGCCAAAAGTACAGAGGATAGACCCAAAGCCCAACGAGAGGAGAATATCAACCGTGATGTCGTACATTTGTAAATTGCATCCTCGAAAAGGTACATTATCTTTAGAAAAATGTAGAGAGAAGGGTGTGACACCTGGTCCTTTACTTGGGCAGCTCAAAGCTGGCATGGATATTACTCTTCCTGATGGTACAGTTGTTTTGAGCAAGGACGTTTGCTCTCCAGAAACACCAGGCCCTACTTTTATAGGTATAGTGGTGATTTTATGATTTTATTCATGTTTTTACTTTAAAGAATTAATTAATCTTATTACATTGAATTTTTTTGTAGTTGTTGAATGTCCATCGGAAGATTATTTAGAATCCTTCGTGAACCATTCTGCCTTCGCGCGGCATCAAACGGATGTAGCGAAAGATGGCGACGTTCCATGCTGCATCATTCATTTTACCCCTCAAAAAGTGATGGACAATTCTCGCTATGTAAATTGGATGAATAAATTTGGTCTCACTACGCGGCACATAATCGTGAACGAGGAGAATGAGTGCATGGGTACTGAAGCGGTTCATAAGCACCAGCACAAGCTCCATATGTTGCATCCTGAGATATTTCCTTTTTTAAATGAAGAAAGCTTTCAAAAGAAGACAAGGGTGAGATGCGTTACACATGGAACTCGTTGACTTTAGAAGTTAATTCGTTGACTCTATCTTAAAATAATCGTACAAATCTTCTTTTTCTAGGCGGGAGATTTGCCCATCATACATCGGCCCCGAACGCATCACACACTCCACCTACAGCCGCAGCTGAAATTCGATACGGAACACGAAGTATCGCTGCATCCGCAGGAATACGTAGACGAGGTTTTCAAGATCGATGGTATTTTAGACGCGTTGGCGGAACTACAAACGAACATCAACGCTCGAACGAAGATGCTGCCTGTCGGTAATGAATATCCAAAGATTGTCATGTTAGGTACCGGCTCTAGCATACCAAATAAAGTCAGAAACACGAGCGGCATACTTTTGCGAGTTGACGAGGATCATAGCATGTTGCTGGATTGCGGTGAAGGCACGTTCGGGCAGATAGTGAAAATCTATGGAAAGTCCGAAACGCCCAATGTCATAAAAACGATCAAGGTGAGTGCTTTTATCTCTTCCGTAATTCCGCAGCTGCGACTTCTGTAATATTTCTGTAATTGTATTTCAGGCAGTCTACATATCGCACATGCATGCGGATCATCATATCGGATTGATTGGCCTATTGAAGGAAAGAAAAAAAGTCACGCAGGAACCTTTGTATTTGTTCGCGCCGGGACACATCGCCGCGTGGTTGCAAATGTATCATAAATGTTTCGAGCCTATTTTATATCAAATCAAGCTAATTTCGAACAGCGAGTTCTTCATGAATGTACACCAACCGGAAGAATACAAATACCAACCTATGTACAAGGCGCTGAACGTACAAGCCGTGAAAACAGTATATGTCAAGCATTGTCCTTATTCTTTTGGCGTTTCCGTGACACTTCATAATGGAAAGAAAATAGTATATAGGTAAGCACGGTAATCTCCCAATCTACAATAAGTGTAAATTTCCGACAAGAAACATTTCTTAAGCTGCTTTAATTCATAATTCCTAAGCTTTAAGAATTATGAATTAGATCCCTGTAATGTTTAGGGCTTAAGGCAATGCAAAAAGTACTTTTGGTCAAAAGTACCTTTTACCTAGAGTATAAGAATTAAAGCTTACATCACTTATTATAGATTGGGATCTAAGTTTTTCTGTCCGAAGGCCATTTCAATTATATATATATATATATAATGGTTTTAGCATTTAGTTTAAAATAAGTATTTCACCTTCTTTTGACATGGCTCATAAATATGATGGTAATATAATTTTTTTAGTGGTGACACTATGCCTTGCGAGAATCTTGTGAAACTTGGTCAAGATTGTGATCTACTCATTCATGAAGCGACAATGGAGGACAAGTTGATAAAAGAAGCGAAATTAAAACTTCATTCGACAGTCTCGGAGGCCATACAGATAGGCGAACAGATGAGGTCAAAATTTACATTATTGACACATTTCAGTCAGCGCTACTCTGTCATTCCTCATTTGCCTCATTTGGATAAGAACGGCCCTAAATTAGATAATGTCGGCATCGCGTACGACAATATGCAAATCAGCCTCTCACAATTACCGTTGTTGCCTTTGATGTACCCGACATTAAAGATAATGTTTAACAAATATTATCTGGAAATAGAAGACCGAGCTGCTAAAAGACAGCGAATGGCGGCTGATTAATTGTAAATATTTTATATGCTAATGTAAATTATGACATTACAACTTCCGCCTTATACCGACATAGCTTTTCTTTGAAGGGTCAACTTTTTTATAAAATAAACATTTAATGAATGTTTTGCATATATAGTGAGATGAATTTAACTAACCGTTAAAATTTTGTCTTTAATCTTTTAAGTTTTGTGTAAAGTAAACCGATCTATAAATAAAAAATAGTTCTCTTCTCTAAAGTTATTTGTATAAATTGAGAAAATAAGAACCTTATAAAAATTGAGCATGACAGATCTGATAAGTCAATCTATATACCTGTATATAATCCTGTGTGTTTGTGTGTATGTATCACACTATAAATTTGCAAGAGGAGTTATATTTGTCACACAAGAAACAATTCTGTGACATAGTCCTGATCAATAAAAAAATCGTCTTATTATATTTTTTAATTTATTACATCCATTGTTCTTAATGTGTTTCTACCGTGAAAAAGTAGTAAAAATGAGAGATTGCCGCTTATACATAAGTATATTTAAGAGAGTAATGTGTGTATCGTCGTCAGTGGAGACATACATCTGAGCAATGTCCTGACCAAAGAAGGAAAATATTCAACGAATAGTTTTCGCACGCTTCGCATCATAGATACGTGCTTTACGCTCTAAAATTAAGTGGCGCGAAGCGTACGCAGTATCACGCTACAATTAGTATAATTAGTGTAATGATATTCAAGAGGCAAACATATATTTACACGAGACTGACAAACCTTAATGTCTCCTCCTGTCTTTCTCTCTCTCTTTTTCTTGAAATAATCTAGCTGAAAAATCGATTTTTGTACCTCGCATTTTTTATTTCATATACCAAAAAATTCTTAAATTATAAAATAATTTGTCGATCGTCGTCGGCAAAAGAGACTGAAATAAAATCTGTTTTACTGCTAAAAAACGTGTAACATCCGCCACATTATCCTTAATGAACATAAAGAAAAAGGAAGAAAAAAAAAAGCGATCGTGTGTGCTACGAATCTTTCCATCACCAAGCCTTAATTCGGCATATTTCATTTCATTACTTAACATACGCGGTAGGCTAGTATGTGTGAAGCATGCGAGGGTAGTACAGCGAAATTGCGCGTGCATCTCGTTAAATGCGCTTCTCCTAACTTATCGTAAGGGATGTATCTCAGTAATGAAATCTAGAAGTTGATTGCTGATTTTCTTAACCGGGAACAGCGACCAGGTGTTGATCGAATTGAACCTTTCTTTCTTACCTTTCTTTCAATTGTGCCTTCTTAGCTGTTACTTCTATATATCCTTTTAAATAATCTGCCTAATATATAAAAGTTGTATTCATAACGATAGCAAAAACTCGTTACCACACCACGAGCAGAATAAAAAAAAATACTGTTTCTCCCTGAATGCATGCCCACATTATCATATAAATTCTTTTTGTCTCGAAATAAATTAGCATAAATTAAAATAATAAACATATACATATAATATAACGATTGTTACACCAATTCTGCGATCAGTTAAAATAATGCATACGAAAGAGATATATATATATATATATATATGTATGTATATGTAGATATATAATATATAATGAGCTCGCAGCGTGGTAAGCTATATGTACTTATAAATATATAAAGATATATAAAAGTGTACGTGTGTGTTACGTATAAAATAGACCGTAGACAATTATGATATCCGGTCCTTTGGACGTCTCTCTCGGACTTTTTTTGCGTTATCTGAATAAATTGTCAGTCTTGAATATATTGCGAATCCGTGAAGCTTTACCAGAAAAAGAAAAGAAAGTGTACGTATCGCGATCGAACGTCGAATAGACTGTCGCTTCGACGCCGGCACGACGCGGTATGCTCGATTAAGTACGCAGGCAGGAAACCAGCGTGAACCGCCAATGATCCTGTTTATTCCGGGGATATGGTACTGCGAGTTACGACCAAAGCTGAGGAGGCAGTGGAATACACATCTTGCTCGTTGCATTTACGTTTTCTTTCTTTCATCCTCCGCATTAGAACTCCCACTTCGTGGCAGATTCGTAGTCCGATTCGCCCAGGCGCAGCGCGCCGTTCTTGCCTGCGGTAAGATACCGGCCGTCCACGCACTTGATGCAGATCCGTGATGGTTCGCGCAGTTCCAGATAAAAGCCATCGGACGGCATATCCGAATCGACAGTTACTCCCTCGCTGTCCGCGTGCCAGTATTTCCCGTTTTGTCCTGTGATAAACGAATGATGGATTCAATCTTCTTATCACATTATTTTATATGTCCACGATTACGTATAAAAAAGTTAGGTGCAATTAATTCAGGCCGATTGACATAGCAATCAGTTACGGATCGATAAAAGGGATTACCTTTGAACCTGACTACGCCACGTTCACATCGCTCGACGCGTATCGTCTCGTAGACGGCCTTGTTGCATTCGAGCTTGGGACTGGCCGCGCTTTTGGGCCCGACGAAGCCCTGCTCGCATCGTAGCACCAGCACAGGTCGATTCATCAAGTAGAAGTAATATTTGGCGGCGTCGGAATCGTTGCTGTTCAACGAGTCAGCGTTTGCGTAGAGATGGCCGGATCGCTTGGTGGCCAGGAACTTGCCATTGTTCGCGCGCAATGCGACCGTGCCGTCGTCCGATTGCCACGCCAGGTCGAAGAGCGCGTTCGACGAACGTTTATGATCGGATGCCTGTATACCGCCGCCAGCCTCCAGGCTCCAGTAACGGTCCTGCATCGTTCGCACGTACCATCGTTTCGTCACTCGATCGAATTCTAACTGGAATGTCTCGTGGCCGGAGATCTCATCTTGATTGGCCGTCACGTCAACACCTAATTAATCAGGTTTTTTATTAATTGATCCTCTCAGCTTCATCTCGTGATGAAGGATCATCAAGAGAAGTCTAGAATTACCTTGCTTCACGGAAACATATCGTTGGTTCAACGCCGCGACGAAAGACGCCTGCGGCAAAGATTCCTCCAAGGAGAAGAGCTCATCGCGCGTAACAGTCGTTGATCTCGACTTCAGAACAGCCTTACTTCCGATCGGTGCCAAATACGCGCCGTGTATATCCCTGTGATGTTTTAATTTATCGAAATTAATTTAATTACTTTGATGTAATTCATCAGAATTAACGCAGAAATTAATTTCAATCTTGAAAAACGATTGCGTCTTTTGTACACAGCGTTCTTCGCGTACACACGCGTTTTTCGTACAGAGAGAGATAACCGTTAATTAAGAGAGAGAGAGAGAGAAGCTTTACATTTCCGTTAATAAAAGATACAAAGAGATTATATGACTGAGGATACCGAAGAGCGAGAAGACCAGCGTGGAATTCCGCGGCGTACAAGCAGTCTCGCGTGCAGGCGTCCAGAAGTTTGCCGTCACGTGCGAGATATTTATTATTGCAAGTATGCAGCGCATAATGACCGCCCTCGGACTTGGAATGATTCCCGTGGCTGTCGTCGTCGCCCATGGTCGCCGGGCGGAATTCCAAGGTAAATAGAGTATCCTCACCCCAGGGCACCGGCGCATCCACGTGAATTTCATCCTGAGTGGCGCTCAGATGTGCGAAACGTTTTCTTCCGGCCGAACGAAGGTTCACCTAAATAATCAAGACGATTAATTTTTTGATTAAATACCGCCGTGAAATCGTGTTTTTAATCGAAAAATAATTTCCAAACCGATCGAAGAAGCTCGAAAGGACGCACGCAGGTGCATCACCCTGTATAAAGATACAGTACAAAGTGTAAGAACGAAGCAAACGCCGGAACGAATTAAGACCGTCGGGGGGAAAATCAGTTGGTCGAGAAAATACAGTTATTAGCGGAGGTTGTGCGTGTAGCGATGTGACTAGATTGCGTAAAACCGTTCGCCGTAAATGCTCCGTTCGCGCGAAATCTCGAAATACAACAGGTACTTAAGGTATATACCTGCGGTCTGGCGGCGAGGTGTACGAGCCAATATTCCGCCTCGCCTGGGGCCTTAGCGGTACACTTCAATTCATCTTGGCTCGAGCCTAAGAAGTAGCCTCTCTGGAGGTTCTTCAGCGCCCATCGCCCGCTGCCTGCAATTTGTCACGATTGCCGTGCCTTGAGAGAATCGCCGATATACTTTTGCCCATTCATTACAGAGCCCCGATTGATGCCGGATGTTTGGAGTAACCGGCCGACCGGCAACGCGAGTCGGATAGGAAGGATAAAAATAGCCTCTCTTTTACCTCGATTGAAAAAGGATGGTTTACGAGTCGACATTTCTGGACGTAGCTGCGACGCGAGAATTTTACCACCTCAAATCGAGATACGTCCAGAATCATCGAGATTCTCTTCCTTTTCTTGCATGTTACATATAACTTTAAATGTATTTATCTTTTTTTTTTTATGCGAAGAAGATATTCTTATTGAAAAAAAAAAAAAAATATTATATATATATATAAAACGCAATTCAATTCTTTATGTCTCTAATACTTCTAACGTTTTATGCAAATTAAGCAGGACGAAGCATATGTACCGTCGGAAGCGAGTTGTATTTGGAAAGCGCATCCCGGATCCGACGAGTCCTCGCTCTCGCACGTCACATTACCAAACTGGTCGACTGCTAAGTATCGATCCAAGTGCGAGCGTAGGAAAACCTGATGCTCGCTGCCCTCCAGAGTCCACAGTTGCTTCTTCTTCAGGCTCGATCCGTTAGCGTTGATTTTAAAGCCGAACGTCTCCGCCGTTAGGTACTTAAACTTCCCGTTGATCAAACCCACCTGGAAGGCATCACAACAATTACAGCTCGCTTTTTAACTTTACCTATCGATTTATGAAAATCCATCAAGTGCGTTCTCGTCAAATCTCGTTAATAAGCAACTCGAATAAAACTTAATTAAGTGTCTGACGTTATATTAATATTAACTATACATGATTTTAATTGCGATCGAGATGCGATTGGATGCGAGAGAAATGAGGAAACGGTAATCCAAATCTCTCCGGTGCCGTTACGACAACGGTCTTCGCGGCCTCGGTAAACTGCAGTTTACATTAGGTTAATTTGCTTACTCGATCAATCAATACATACCGTCCATCCGGATTTATCGACTCCGTTCTCGGATCCTACATTCTCCGAACCGTTGCTCTGCATCGTACTGCCGTAGCTGGACGTCTTCTCAACACGTCTGAAACAAATATACGCGTATAATTAAACTGCGGCCTTCATTCCAGGCGCCTCCATTCCCGAGGGCGCCGTGATCATCTCGCGTATCACAAGTGATGAAAGAAAAATTCTCGAGCGCGTTTTCTACGCCGCGTGGAAACTTTATCATCTCTTCCTCGTCGGTGGAAGAGTCCGTCTACGAGAACTTGAGGAATTTACTCGTATCTCGTATCGTATTCATTTCTACCAGTGTAATTTTAATCTCGTATAATACTTTGCTCTCGTATAACCTTGAATCTATTCTTTTACTGCTCGAATTAGAAAAACAGAAGACAGGCAAGTTAAATCGAGATTAAAATTAATCTACATTGGTAGAAGTGAGGATTAGATTGAAAAGCACGATTGCACAATTATTTTATTAATTACACACAGGATTGACATATTTTGTTAAAATCAAATTTCAATTTAATTAATACTAGAAGTATCGCGCGAACATGTTTGAACTATTTTTATAAATTAATATTTCTTTCTATTCTTTTTTAAAAATATAATACTTGACTTTTCTATTTTTTTTTTTTTTCATATTTACTCTCTTTATTCCGAATTGGGAAATTAAAATCAAGAGATTCTTAAAATTTGTGTTTCTTATTAAAAAAAAAAAAAAAAATTAATTTGTAAAAATAGAATCGGCCGAAAATGAATCCGAAATGCGATCACTTCTGGCGTTAAATCGCGAGGCAAGCAAAAGGATCGCATTCGTCTTTGTTTAAATCCGCCGCGCAAAGACAGACGACCGCGAGAGCTTTCCTTTCGGGCTACTGCTCCGAAATGGCATTGTACTCGTTTACTCGCGGGATACATACGTGAACGATTGCAAGCGGCGGGGAAAAACGTGGGAGAGAAGGGAGGGGGAAGGAGGGAGGGGGTTTTATGTTGCGCGCCGATTGAGAAATCCGCCGCTGCGCGTATTGATCCCCCCCCCCCCCGAGTCTCATCCTGGCGCTATCACCAGCGGACGAGCCCGGCACGTCCCACGACTCGGAACGAAACATTTGCTATTATTTGCTGGATAAGCGTTCCTCCCCCGCGCGTTTCGCAGCGATTCTGCCTCGTTTTCTTTTTTTTTCTCTCCCCCCTCCCCTTCCCTCTCCTTCGCAATCCTATCGCATCCTGTCTTACGCTGCGACAATACGAGCACGCACGCCCGTGTCATTTGCTCGTGGCGGAAATCTCACGGGAAATTTCCTCCACGCGTGTGTCCTCGGCACAATGGCGAAGAATCGAGCGAGAAATTTAAATAAAATCGCGTCGCGTTTATGATAAACTTACAAAACCTATAAACCTTAACTTCGTTAAAATTTATGGGAAATCCTCGACGGGAGGATTCAAATGGTGTAAGATCGTTTCGCGTTACGCGTTATCTCTCATCGGATGGTGTTTTTCCGGTTGCGTCGCGGGAACGGCGCTTATATTATTCATTTACGACGATTAAATCTGCATACTCGTGTGATTTTATTAATTATAGGCGACGCGCTTTCATCTTATCGTTCGCGATCCGATCTCGCGGAGAATCTCGCGGATCAATCTCTCGAGAATCTCTCGCCAGTCACTTAGGATCAATTCGCGCCTGTTAAATCGGCGCTCGCCACTAGCGTTTTAACCGTTAATTTAACCGGCCGAGTGAGAAGCATTCACTCGAGAGGGTATCAACCTTCGACTGTCACATCCGCATCTAAGAGACGAAAGGAAGTGAAGGTTCGAGATTGAGGAGCGTCCTAAATCGAATCATTCAAAGGAATTAGGCCTCACACTCTTGATCTGACTCACAATCGATTTCCGTCTTTTGACAAGGAACACATTGTCATACGTAAAATATTCTTTTATGGTCGAAGCTGTTTGTTGCAAATAGCAAAAAAAA